ACCCAGTGTAGCTTTATCGCGGTACTTTACCAGACCCCTTAGCGAAAAAGGGCGTAATAAAAGTATACTCGACATACTTCTAGTATACTATAAGGCAGGGAGTGTAATAGAATATTACAAAAAGTAGAGTTGTAGAATATGGCATTCCGGGGTCGTTCCATGATCCTAGTATACTTGCCAAGTATGTTTAGATCATATAACTACTAGCCTACACCAAGTACGCTCAAAGGAACCGCTGACACTTCAAGTATAATTTAGGCGCGCCATTAGTATTGTTTAGGATTATAGAAGTAGCGCACTCCCGGTCAACAAGTTAAGTTCTGCACAAGGCTGGCGTTCCCCTAATTTTGACTAAGTCCTGGCAAAATTTTAGCGGATCAAACGGGTTTAAGCGGAACGCTTGTTTATTTTTTCTATCTATAATTGATTTTTTTTTGTTAAATGGAAAACGCGCATTTAAAGTAGGCTCGTCACCTGTTCAGCCTACATTTGTTCCAGTTACTAAAAACTTCTTCCACTTAAACTCTTCGCAATATTGTTTTTTTTTAAATTAATTTTCGATTTTGTTTTACTTATGTGGTGAGTTGCGAAAACACACCAGAAAAGAAGGAAGCGTTCGTTTTTGTTTTTTTTCAAAATTCACCACTTTCTTAAAGACTTGGACTCATGTACGAGTCTCTCCTCTGTCTAGAACAGTACAATGTTGAGCTTTCCCCTTTAAGTGTAAAAGTTTTAAATTGAAAATTCCATAAGTTTTGTGTCGCCTGCTATACGTGCGGAAATCGTCGTCATAACATATTAAAAATATATATTATTGGAACTGGTTGTACCAAACTTTCAAACTGTACATAGTGTAATTGAACTGACCATATTGGTAATGAAACTGCTGAAATCGAGACAATCAAGACGTCGGACTTCTCGAGGTACGTTCGAAGCGCGATATTTAGAAGAGCGACGGATCTTCGCCCTATTTGCGGAAGTGGCCGATTGGCATCTGTCTCAAATCACGAGCGGCAAAAATAAAGCTCAATCAATCAATCAACTAGAGTTTACTGCAGGGCTAAGGAAGAACCTCTCGACTTCGCGCTGGCATATTTCAATTATAATGAGAATAATAATAATAATAATAAATTCATTTAGTGTTTATTGCAGTGTCCAGGGACATCCAATTAGTCTTCTTTCTGGCGTAGTTCAATAAAACGCACAAAGAGATACACTTAAGCGCGCGTAGACAGACACATACAAAAACGCGCGTACGCACGCGTGCACACGCGCAAACGCACGCACGCATGCAGACGCACACGGACGCACAATCACAGACGCACGCACAAACAAACACGCGGACGCGTCCACACGCGATTACGAACACGGGCGCTTGAACGCACACACGCACGGAAGCGTATACGACGAACGAAACGCTGATTAAGATAGTTTCGGTTTTACACTAAAAAAAAACAAAAAACAACTAAAGTTTAGATAAAACCTAAGATGAATTAAATTTTTGTTAATATTTTACAACATCACACTCACTTTACTCTTAGTAATATAATATTCATTTGCTTAGTTTCGTTGTCAAAGCAAACAAAAGGAGCCTTCTGGAGACTGCGGAAGACCATCGCTATTGTAATCAGCGTCCGTTTGGCAGCCGTTGCTACAGCACTATATAGCTCCTTCGAAGCAGAGTAGCGCAGAGCCGTATATTGGGAGAGTTTGGCCATTCATTGGTATCAATGGGGCGAAAATCTATTGGTCGAATAGTTGATTGACAGGCCGCTCGTGGCCAATCACAAGCCGCAAAACCTCCCCTAGCGGTGGTCGTGAGCCTCAAAAGTAAAGCAGGGTTCGGTAATTTCATTTTAGCGTCGCTAGAGTTAAAAAGTTAACGCTCGGTGACTGAAAACTTGGTGCATGTGAGCTTTTCGTCATAGCCTTCTTTAATGGTAGAATAAACGAATGCGCACGCAGACACGTGCGTTGAAATAACGTAAACAAAAGTTTGTGTAGCCGCGGGAGTTCCGCCGTTCCGGTCTTGTTTGAAAAATGGGTCGTTGTTGTGCTCTGAAGTGCCGGAACAGAGCTTCCAGAGGAATTCGCTTGTTCAAGCTGCCGAAATCCCCGAGGAGACGGAAACTGTGGCTTTCAGGAATCAGGCGTGGCGCGGGGTGGAAACCTCCCGACAGAACGTACCTTTGCGAGGTGAGGTATTGTTCATTGTTAATATTGTGACGCGAGCACGGTGGACGCGAGTGCACTGTGACGAAACCGTGTATTTTGTGATCTATTCTCTACTGCCGTGGAAGCGTCCTGTGCGCTTTCGCTTCACCGCAGAAAGACGAGTGGTTCAGGCCTGTGGCGGTCGTGCGATGATGGATTTGTAAGATCGCGTATTTTGAAAGCGTGAGCCTCTCGTCAGCGGAATAACTGTACTGTGACGCGAGCGGCTGAATACACAGTTTTGACGTCTACCAAAACGTTATTCGCTGCAGGACCACTTCGAGCCCTCCCAGTTCCAGACGAGGTGCTCTGACGGCTGGAGGAGGCTAAAAGCCACAGCTGTTCCGAGCTTGTTTCTGCATTCTGAAAGTCAAGTGAGTGTGTGTAACGAGGATAAGTGAGATTTTTGTTCTTTTGATATTTACCTAGATTATGAGAGTGAATTAAAAGCAATAATTTATCTTGTGTTAAGATGTTTTTACTGATATGATTTGAAAGAGGCACAGGTGACCTATAATAATGTGGACTTGGTAGGCTGTTGACATCTCTGTTCCATGTCAGAGACCTTTTTTTTTTTTAAATCGGAGTGGTCCTTGTGCAAGAGTGCATGAGACACCATCATTCAGTGTTGCAGCCTGACACAGCACAAAACCCCGCCTCATGGAAATGTAAGTCAAAACCCAATAACTCATATTCTGTTGCTTCTATTAAGTTAATGCATGAGGCATTCATCACTCTCAGCTGCCTTGTAATGTTATGACAGCCTCACCAGCTAAGTATCTGTCATGGTTCTTGCATGGCTTGGAGTGATCTCGTGAGGTGGGCAACACCCAGTGGACCATTTGCAGAATTAGTGGTTCGAGAGTGCATGGCTAAAAGACGAGAGTTCCCTGGCCGCAGGCACGTCCACTGCGTCCCGTTGGCTTATTGTGTCGCATTGACTTAGATAGAGCTCCCCCAAAACCACTTTTGTCCCCCTTGAGGATAATCTTTCACCCCGAGGTAAATACAAAGAAGCCTTCGTCCCTCTCCGCTCGGCCAGCATGAAGAGAGAAAGGGCGACAAATCCATTTATTCTCGAACCCATATTTCTGCAAAACAAGGATTCTCGTACCGTGTTTGCAGCAACCAGCGGCCAGGACCTCCGGAGCGACCCTGCAGGTCGGCCTGCTAACGCAGCCGCTCCCCACCACCAGCGGGGCGTGCTTCGTAAGCATCTTCCAGGGTCCTGCGTACCCCCGTGTAGCAATACCACCACGCTCTTCGCCGCAGGTGACCAGTGACAACCAGCGCGGCCAGGCCAGCTCAGCTGCCCGCGGCACCTTGGTGTCGGCAGACTCCACCAGCTGGGTATGTGGTTCTTGCACGGCTTGGAGTGATCTTGTGAGGTGGGAATAACCCGATTCTCATACCGTGTTTGCAGCAACCAGCAGCCAGGACCTCTGGAGCGGCCCTGCAGGGCGGCCTGCTAACGCAGCCGCTCCCCACCACCAGCGGGGCGTGCTTCGTAAGCATCTTCCAGGGTCCTGCGTACCCCCGTGTAGCAATACCACCTCACCCTTCGCTGCAGGTGACCAGTGACAACCAGCGCGGCCAGGCCAGCGCAGCTGCCCTCGGCACCTTGGTGTCGGCAGACACCATCAGCTGGGTGTGTGGTTCTTGCACGGCTTGGAGTGATCTTGTGAGGTGGGAATCACCCGATTCTCGTACCGTGTTTGCAGCAACCAGCAGCCAGGACCTCTGGAGCGGCCCTGCAGGGCGGCCTGCTAACGCAGCCGCTCCCCACCACCAGCGGGGCGTGCTTCGTAAGCATCTTCCAGGGTCCTGCGTACCCCCGTGTAGCAATACCACCGCACCCTTCGCTGCAGGTGACCAGTGACAACCAGCGCGGCCAGGCCAGCGCAGCTGCCCTCGGCACCTTGGTGTCGGCAGACACCATCAGCTGGGTGTGTGGTTCTTGCACGGCTTGGAGTGATCTTGTGAGGTGGGAATCACCCGATTCTCGTACCGTGTTTGCAGCAACCAGCAGCCAGGACCTCTGGAGCGGCCCTGCAGGGCGGCCTGCTAACGCAGCCACTCCCCACCACCAGCGGGGCGTGCTTCGTAAGCATCTTCCAGGGTCCTGCGTACCCCCGTGTAGCAATACCACCGCACCCTTCGCTGCAGGTGACCAGTGACAACCAGCGCGGCCAGGCCAGCGCAGCTGCCCTCGGCACCTTGGTGTCGGCAGACACCATCAGCTGGGTGTGTGGTTCTTGCACGGCTTGGAGTGATCTTGTGAGGTGGGAATCACCCGATTCTCGTACCGTGTTTGCAGCAACCAGCAGCCAGGACCTCTGGAGCGGCCCTGCAGGGCGGCCTGCTAACGCAGCCGCTCCCCACCACCAGCGGGGCGTGCTTCGTAAGCATCTTCCAGGGTCCTGCGTACCCCCGTGTAGCAATACCACCGCACCCTTCGCTGCAGGTGACCAGTGACAACCAGCGCGGCCAGGCCAGCGCAGCTGCCCTCGGCACCTTGGTGTCGGCAGACACCATCAGCTGGGTGTGTGGTTCTTGCACGGCTTGGAGTGATCTTGTGAGGTGGGAATCACCCGATTCTCGTACCGTGTTTGCAGCAACCAGCAGCCAGGACCTCTGGAGCGGCCCTGCAGGGCGGCCTGCTAACGCAGCCACTCCCCACCACCAGCGGGGCGTGCTTCGTAAGCATCTTCCAGGGTCCTGCATACCCCCGTGTAGCAATACCACCGCACCCTTCGCTGCAGGTGACCAGTGACTACCAGCGCGGCCAGGCCAGCGCAGCTGCCCTCGGCACCTTGGTGTCGGCGGCCTCCACCAGCTGGGTATGTGTCATGGTTCTTGCACTGCTTGGAGTGATCTCATGAGGTGGGCGACACCCAATTCTTGTACCGTGTTTGTGGCAACCAGCGGCCAAGACCTCTGAGCGAACCCTACAGCCTCTTTCTCCATCACCCGTTTCACCTAGGCTCACTGAAGATGTCTTTCTTCAGATGAGCCGGAAGATCAGGCAGCTGGAGAACGAGAATCATCGCTTGGTGAGGCAGGCTGCCTTACAAAAGACAAGGGAAGCGACATTCCGGTCTCACTTGCACGAGTTCTTCACTGTGGACCAACTGGCAGCTCTATCGAGATCCAGCAACAGGGGGTCCAAGTGGTCTAATGAGACGGTGAAGAAGTCGCTGCAGATGCGATCTGCATGTGGCAGCTTGGGCTACGACTTGCTACTGGAGGGGAGCTTCCCATTGCCGTCGTCTAGAACTCTAGGGCGGCGGCTTGAAGGCAAGTTTGTTGTCAGGCTACTCAAATGCTTCAAAGCTCCCTGTTGATTATTTGCAGGTATAATATCCTTGTTAGTAACTGTAGTGTTTTTGTATTTTACACAATTTATTTTTAAATGATAAGTTGGTGTCATGGTTCCTTTTTCATTTAGTTGCAGTGTGGTATGAAGGGGTAGATTATTGATATTGTGTTGGAATGATTCTCTCATCGCAGGCATACAGCACTAGTTTGACCTCAGTATCTTGCACTCGTCGAGATGTGAATTCAAGTTTAGAGGGGGAGTGTTTCCTTCACTCCCAATTTTTGTAACCTTGCTGATGCGACCATGGAGGTAATTATGCTGACGGTGTCTAGGAGAGCACCCTGTGGTGATGATGGTCGAATGAGGCTTATGGATTCCATACGAGCACTGCATGAACACTTGACTTGGGTTCGTGACAATAAGTGCCTCGGCAAACATTTGGGCAGCTCATGACTAATCTCTGCACACGAATGGCCAAAATTAAACATTGTTTACAGCTCAGCACATGCTGCACATGTTTCCATCCCCAGCCTATGGCTATACACAGTTCTCACGTGACGTCATTCTAGTCACCATTCCCAGGTACTAAGCGTCCCATTAATGTAGTGGAAGGTAGGTCAAATCTGCACCCCGTGATTGGCGCGGCCCTACTAGAATAAAACGTCATCATCTCACCTACCAATCGTGTGTGTCCTGTGTCCTGTGATGTCGAGATCGCTCTAGCGCTCTTATCAGTTGCCCTTGGGACTCGCGATGAGTTGGCCGCGTGCCGTTCGTTCGGTGATGTGCACACTTTCTAAGTGCTGACAAAGTCGCGATTGCAGCGAGTTAGCACAGTTGAGTGCGCTTCTTAAGGAGCACCGGTGTGCTGTGCAGAAGCGACACTTACAGAGAAAACACCGTCATCGTGCGTATTTCGCAGGCACTGCGATTGTGCATTGAGTGGAAGGCACACCTCCAGAGAAGAAGAGGTCACGCGCGTGTGCGACGAATTCAGGAAAACATTGTAATGTAGCGTAATGATTGTTCATGTTCCTGGTCAATATGAGTGCTTACCTCAAGGCCAAAAAAAACAACAACTGGCTTTTACCATGAATATGTGTTACTCTACAATTGAGGTCCCGTCAAGCAGTGTGCATCATTGCGCATCATTTCTTTAGTCTAAGATTTAAAACGAATATTTGGGTATAGCAAGAGGACTGACAAATCTCTCATCTACTTACAATCTCTATGTATGGCTTGATTTATTTGAAGCGAGAGTCATTCAGTAATTTAGATCAGAATTAACTGAGCCTTGGCAGTGGGTAGGCAGATACTTGAGAATAACCTAAATGAAACCAGCTAGATTTTCCTTTACAAAGTATAATCATTGCTCACGTGCTGAGTTTGTGCACTAGAAAGCTATCTCTACAGGAAAAAGGCTGTTGACAAGGAGAACTAAATGACAAGCTTCATTTGTTGCTTCGATTAGCAACTGCAGAATTTACGCACATCCTTGAGAACGTGAACAAAACATACTCAAAATTGCTCTTGTCTAACCTCATTTCAGTGGATTACTGTGTGCCCCTTCATATTAGGTGTTTTAGGTATGATAGTCTTTATATCATATCTAAAATGACTTTTTATTCATACTCGTTCACACACATCCATCACTCAAATACTATAATGTTTTGAAAAATGTGTACTAAGGTAAGAGTGCTAAGCTAAGTTAGCATGTAGCTTAGCTTGTTTGTAGCTAGCTAAGCTAGTTACACACGACTGGAAGCTAACTTAGGTTAGCTTCCATTAAGCTAAGCTACCTTCCGCCATCTTGACATCAACACTGTCAAGATGGCGGAAGCTGAGCGCAATGGCAGTATCAGAAAGGCACAGCAATTATTCAATATGCGATTCGAAATTATTCGACCCAAGTCACTATTAGCTTCTTATTCGCTTGAAACATAAAATTCGTTATTCGCACGTGCCTGCTTAAGGGGAAACTAAAGCGGTTTTGTACCTTTAAAAAACACTTGCATCATCTTCATATGGCCTCCAGTATCACGAATATTAAAATTATTTGTCAATTTGAGGCCCGGAGTAGCCATCAAAGCATTTTGACCATAGCGCTGAAGCCCCGCCCTCCCGAGGTGTAAGAAGCTAGGAGGAAATTTCTGAGAGACAGCAGCGTCGCAACAAGGATCCTCGGAATCTCTGCAGCTATTGCAAGCTTATTTGAGTGGTCGACAAATTGTGTGCGATTCACCTCATGCTCACGATTTTCACTCGCCTGTTTGTTTTGACGTAAGTTTAGTACACCTATAAACTTTCATAAAAGATTTAGCGGATGTTGGTCAGGCGTGAAAGATTGTAGCGGGAACTAGGCGTCTGTAGCAGATGACGCACCATTTCACGAGAAAAAAAAAACGCTGCATTGGGCAAGGCTGGTCACATGTGCCGGAACACTGCACGAGAGATGGTGCTTGAGCTTCGGTGGCCAGGTGAAAGTTCTTGACGTGACATCATGCCGAGTGAATTTTTTAAATATTTCTTTGCGTTGGGTGATACTTCTTGAGCAAATAGTGCATATTCAAATTTGCAGGATACAAATACGGAAGAATTTACCTCTAACTCATTTTTTTTTGGAGAACCTCTTTAGCTTCCCTTAAAGTGTTTTCAACAAAATCAGTCAGTGGTTCACAAATCGGAGTCGGTGACACTTTTAGCAACGCACAGCTACCAAAGTAACCATGGAGTGTACTTTACTTCAGTGCTGGCATTCATCACCTTTGCTCATCAAGTGGAACTGCCAACTTTAAGAGAGTGGAAAAAACTCGTAAAAAACCAGCAAAAACCATTCGTATGGACAACAATAATGGAAGTTAGCAGCCTTTTCTTCGTTTAGTGCCCATGCTGTTCTTTTATTGACTGAGGGGGAAGTTTCAAATCATTGATTCCTTCAGTCGAGTTTACCAAACATTGCATACACTTGATGATCTAAAGCAGTTCTGTGTTTGTAGGTGAGCACTGCCCTACGGGTCCTCAGTCACTCCACGGCCACTGCCCTGCGCTTCCTGGTGGAGAATCATGGCTGGAGCACCAACTTCCTCACCACGGCTTGGTTCTTGGAACAGGTCAACAAATGGTTTGATCTTATGAGCAGCAGGCACCCAGTCCTTGCGATCAGCAGGCAAAATAAGGCCTGCTACAAGAACACCCTTGACTTTCTGGTCAAATTTAAGGATCTTTTTCTCCACCTCACTATTGGGGATGGGGCGTTCAAGCCAGTGCAGGCGGGGATAATCCTCTCTACCAAGTCCATTCTAGACCTGCAGCAAAGTCTCATTGAGGGACATTCTTTTTCATTTGTGCTCACATCCAGATTCACGCAGGACTGCCATGAAAACGTGTTTTCGGTAATGCGACAGGGCAACCCTATCCCAACTTCTTGGAGTTTAAGATGACCTTGAAAATCATCACACACTCGCAGTACCTGAAGGCGTCCAAGGCAGGGTCCTACGAACTGGACGATGCCTCCTTTTACCTGGCTGACCTCGCAGACTTGGATGTACAACCTGCTGTGCCCACCGACATTTTTCTTGAGGAGGTAGAACTCGCCATGTCACAACCTGAGGAGAATAGCTTTGACTATTACGCGGGTATGTGGTACGAAGAGTTGTAAAACATAATGCTACATGTGACACGTGTGCTGCAGCTGTTCAAGTCCCCATGGCACCTGCAAATAGCCTCCTCAGGCTAAAGAGTTATGTCCCTGACGCTCTGACCTGCCCCTCTGAAGCTGCACGCGCCCTCTTCACAATTTGTGAAAGTGTCTTTCGCAGCCTCATTGCGGATATGATGCATGCACGGGGCATCCTGGACGGCCTATCGGCGAGGATGGCTGCAGAGAGCCAATGTGTTCAGCTGCCCGACCGCCATGAAATCAAAATGAAGCTCATCAGGCGATTCTGCCATGCACGGCTGCAACTGTTCCTGCGGGAAAAAAGTCGCGAGTTGGCGGCTGGGGCAGCTGAACGCAGGGACTTCGGCAGTCGATGGCAGGACCTCGGAAAACTAATTAGTGTTTTAGATTGCCTTAGTTGATGAAACTGTTGTCCCGTTCTCATTTTGTTTTTACTTTGCTTTCTTCTTTGTGTTAAGGGCAGCTTTCATTTTTTGCGTTCCTTCTTTACCGAGGCACTTCTGAATTTTTTTTACTCTTGCAACGGTTGTTTGTGCGAGGCCCTTTTTCTTGTGATCTCCATATAAGCCTACGTGAAGCCTCTGCATTTTTTTTAATGCTTGCTACACATGTTTGTGGGAAGTTTCTTGTGCTGTGCTTGTAAGCATCTGTACTTTTTTTATGCTTGCTACGGGTCTGTGAGAAGCCCATTTTTTTGTGCTCTGCCTGAGGCCTCTGAATTTTTTTTACACTTGCTATGGGTCTTTGCAGAACGCTTTTTTTCTTAGGCTCTGCCTGTAAACCTGTGTGGCGCCTCTGAATTTGTTTTACGCTTACTAGAGATGTTTGTGGGAAGCTCTTTTTCTTATGCTCTATGTGCAAGCCTGCATGAAGCCTCTGGATTTTTTTCATGCTTGCTTCAGATGTTTGTGGGAACCCTTTCTTTTTCTTGTGCTCTGCGTGTAAGTTTGCGTGAAGCATCTAAATTTTTTTCACACTTTCTTCAGCTCTTTGTGGGAAGCTTGCTTTTTCTTATGCTCTGCATGTAAGCCTGAGTGAGGTCCCAGAATATTCTTTTACTTTTACGCTTGCTTCGGATGTTTGTGGGAAGCTTTTTTTTTTTATTGTGCTCTGTGCGTATGGCTGCATGAAGCCTCTGAATTTTTTTACGCTTGCTACGGTTCTTTGTGGGGAGCAATTTTTCTTCTGCTCTACGTGTAGGCCTATGTGAAGCTTTCGCTGTCATGCAATCTTGCTCTTCTGTATCATGTTTTTTTTTTTCTTGTCCTCCTCCTTGTGCTGTGCACTGCTTATGTTTCACTCATCCCTTTTTGCTTCATGTGGATGTTTGTAGCCTACACTTTCCTTCCTGGTGTCTTGCATGAAAGCCTATGCAGAGACTTCCTGCCCATGTTAGCTTGTCTTTTCCCCTGTCATTCTTCTGTTCACTTTCCTCGTGTCATTCGCACACCTCGAAATATGCACTCTCTCTGTATCCTCAAGTTTTTCACTTCTGCACTTGCTTAAGACATTTGCAAGCCATCCCTTTACTTCATGAGCTTTCCATGTGAGCCTTCACCGTGCAGCACCTTTACGCTTCTGGGAGCCTATGCTTTGCCTCCGACCCTTTTGGTTTATCCACTTGCCTATTTTAATTTTGCAGTTTCTGTGTTTTTTCTTGCAGAGGCACGAGACCCATGTCCCCTCCATGGTCATCGGTTGCAGCTTTTGGGTCTGTCTCATTTTATTTCATTGTAGTTGCAGACTTAATTATTGTCAGGTATCTGTGTGTTAGTTCGTTTGCAGTAGACCTAACTGCCGCCATTTCCTTTCCGTGAGTTAGTTTTTGTCGGACGCTCGTACTCAGTGTAACAGGTGCAAGGGCTGGGTTTTGTTGCTGTGTCCAGGATGTTGCAAGGAGACTGCTGGCCAATGGACTTCTTCCAAAACCGATGCGCCCCATTGCGGCGAAATACCATGCAGTGCATTCTGGGAACTAGTTGGCCACTCAGTTTCGGTTTCGACTGAGCAGATTCATCTCATGCTATCACGCTGCGACCGAACGCACTGCTTGCGTTTTCGATTATCTGACTTTTTTACGAATGTACAATATACTCATTCTCGAGCGATACAAAACGAAGGCCGGGGCACTTTTTTTGGTACCCGAAACACCGGATATTTGAGTGCGTATGCAAACGTAGTAAGACGTGGCTTAGTTACCTTAACGAGTGCATCTTTGAGTTCAATTTCAATAATCCCGTCTAGTACCAGTGAAGTAGAACTGAAATTTGTTCACCTGGAGCCTTTCACCTATTTTGTTTGCCAAACGTCCGCTTCTTGTTACTTCATTGGGCAAAAAGCAAGCCGCATTCTCACAGGAGTATCAAAGTTGAGCCCAGCGTTGACGCGTAAACTTTTAAGGAAACGCAATAAATTCGACCTCACTACTGCACCAAAGTTACTATGATGTCTTCCTCGTGTCATCATATATCTCCCACTCAAATTTTATGCTGATAGAAGATTAAGTTTTCGCAAACGCGGAGATGGGCTAGCTACGACGGAGGCCCTAACAAGCGTCCCCTACTCCTCGCTAAGCCTTTTTGGACGGGCTTTTCCTGACGCCCAAGATCTATGCCTGAACGGTGTGTCCGAAATTATCGCGGCATACTCAGGCAGGAAGAAAGCTAACACATGACAAATATTATGGCCATTAGCAACCGTCAAATGCACTTTGAAAAATTTCGTTCGTTTGGCGCACCGCATAGGGGTTCATACCCGTCCGGCGTACTTCTGGCGAATGGTGCAACATTTTTCACACAAGTGCTCGACTTTTGCTTTCTTAAAACGGTTTGTATGCGCGAATGTGCCTATACGATTGCAGGATAACTTTACGTGCATACGCGATGTTGAATATTAGTAAAATGCAAGTGGGTGGGGACTTCGCTTCGTGCAGGGCTGCGGGTCAGTACAGATAAGAGATAAGAAGGTTTTCAATGGCACCTCCGAGTTTTACTTCGCATACACAGGCGTATTAAGAAAACAGTAATTGCAAAAAGTAATATTTTTTCTATGGACGCACGAAACGAACAAACTTCCTGATCAACAACATATAATGTAAAGGCGCGAGCTTGATGTATGCATACTTATTGGTTGCTACAGCCTGTTGATTCGTACATAAGCAAGATCCCCGAGCTTCGCAGCGTCGAGATTCCCAGCACTGGCTCGTCCAGATACCTCGAAACGCTAACAAAAAGGCTCAAGTACAAAAATAGAACAAGCATGTGTTAAGAGACGCTATATACGTCTCGAGCTTGTGCTAAAGCTTCGAGGTCTGGCCATTTAGGTTAGTTTATAGACCACAAATGACGCTCTCGGGACCAGAAAACATAAGATAATGGCCGTTTATAGTCCACGCTCTGTGTGTAATCTCTGGTCGACGTGTCGATCGAAACTGAAACCATGCCACTCTCCTCCCTGGCCAACTAGTTCCCAGAGTGCAACGCGCGCCGTGTTGCATGCAGGGCTTTATGGAAGTAGTCTATTGTGTGCATGCATCAAGAATAGTTGTGTGTCAGAAGTTCCTTTATTTCCTTGTTTTTTGACTCCATACAGACCAATGTTGAAATTGTTGGTGGCTGCTTCATCCATGGAGTGCAAGGATCATACCTATTTGTTTATTAGGGAATAATTGACATGGCCGTGTCATACATATTTGTTGCATGGTCACTGGAAAGTGTGGGAAAAGAGAGAAAGCCCATGGCCGTTGCACAGGGAAGCCCCCAGAAACACTGACCCCTGGTGGTGGCCTGATCCAACACTTTGCCGCACAAGCTAAAGGTTCATCTTGGTTGGTGTCCCCCGTGCCTGAGTGGGGCACCCTTGCACTGCTTAAAATGCCTGCTCAGTTCCTGGTCCATAGCCTGGTTTTTTCACTTGTTAACTGCCAATCAAGTTAGTGCCCAGTGGTAATATCATCATCTGACTAGAAATGAGTTGAGTTAAAGCGTCTGGGGCACAACTGGCCCAGGTGCTGCTTCATTGTGCCATGGTGGATTTTACCAAAGTCATGCAGTTTTCGACAACCTGGAAGATGATCTTGGTCCCCATTGTTCTACAGCTCCCATGTTTCTTTCAAAAACAGGGCTGCTTTCTTTGAGGTTGCTAGGTCTTTCCAGGTCTACCTTTGGCTCCTGGGTCTCAGTGATGAGGTCCATGCAGCAAACTCTAGGACAAAAGTTGAACACGAGCTCTGTTGGAGATTGTCCTCCTGTGGTAGGCGGTGTGCGACGGTACACAAGGAGCCATCTTGGCAAGTATGCGGCCAAAAAACCACCCGAGAGTTTCTTTAGACTGTCCTTGATCGTTCTGACAGCTCTCTCGGGAAGTCTGTTTGACTGTGGATAGTTAGGTGCAGTCCTTAGGTGGCCAATTCCATTCTGAGTAATGAAGTCGGTAAACAGCATGCCGGGGAATGGTGTTCCATTATTGGACACCAAGCAAACAGGAAGTCCTAACCAGGCGACCGTGTTCCTCAGATATTCGACTGTTGCAGTGGAGTTGGCTGGCTGCAGATGCCAGTGGTTTCTTTCAATCTTGGTAACTGTTTACCACAATTAGCACCGTTTTACCTTCGATAGGTGCAGTGCAGTCCATGTAAATTCTTGTCCATGGAGCCGTGGGTTCTGGCCAAGCTTGTGGCTCTGCTTCTGGTGGCATTAATGCAGCCTGTTGGCATATTGTTCAAGGTTGTACGGCATCAACCATTGCCTTACCTCATTGCGTTGATACCCATGCGTGTGTCATGGAATTCTTGAAAGAAGGTTAACCTCCTATGGGCCTTTTGACTCCGTGGATGTTGTGTGACGACACTGGTCCAACTGCCACTGGAGGTGTGGCACATTCAGGATCAGTTCCTCAGTGTGGTTGTGATACACCAGGAGCCTGACGCAGCAGTGTCTGCTTTGCCTTGTTAAAGCCGTCGTCTTCCTTTAATACACACCTCTATTTCACATTTTTCTGGAGCAGGTGGTTGAATGGAGCCAATAGCTGAAACATTTGAGGCAGGCAGCTTGCATGCTATAGATGATGAATCCTGAGAAATAACAAAGTGCATGGCAATTCCATGGAGCAGGAACCTTCAGGTTGGCTTTCAGCCTGTTGAGA